CTGCTGCATGAAGTCCTCCATGTTGAACTTGTCTTCCAACCGCTTATCTAATAGAATTCTATTGCCCGCTTCAGTGTATCCTTTTCGGAATATTGCGAACAGTTCCGGGCTCTTCAAGTAATGCGGGATGAAACGCTGATTGTCCCCTGTCACCATAGCTCCCTTGAAAGCTTGATAGACAATATCGGGGTCCTGGGTGAGGTCTACCGTCTCACATTGTCCGAAATCCAAGAGATATAACTGAACGGCGCGGTGCTGAAAGTCCGGTTCATGGTATCTTCCCTCGGGAGCTATGGCTGACGTTCCAAGAACAAACTCCACATCATCACCGTTGATGGCGGCGGCCCAATGTAGGGTTGCATAGGCTTTCCCCATCGCATTTGCAAGCGGGAGAGTCTCGATGCCAATCTGCTCCATCGGCTCAAGGTACAGAGGGAAATTTCGTAGCGGAGTCTCCTGATCAATGGTACCATTTGCCTTACCAAGATAGACACGGGCAAGGCAGTGCTTATTTCCAGGGTGATTGAGGATAGCCTCAATCCTAGTATTATTGAGGTATTGAGGAGTATAAAACTGGGAGATTAAGGCCCTTCGCACGACTTTCGGTAACGGAAGAATCCGTTCCATCATCATAAGGTCTCCACGTATACAATAGGCCTGAGGGATTTTTGGTAAGATCTCATCCCAGAAAGCATTATTCTCTTCTTTGAAGATAAAGTTGTAAGGTTTTGGAACGTGGACTTCGCTGTTGAGGGAATGGTAATACTCGAATGTAGCCGAAACAGTACAGTGGATCCTATACTCATGACCGAGGTTCGATGGCAGGTCTTCGTTTCCAGGAAATTCCTTCTTTAGTACTAGAGGCTTGCCGACCTGCTCAAATACAGCTCCCTGCAAGCCAGCTCCGATTTGGTTGAGGGTTTGTAAGTCGGGGCGAGAACGTGCATTCTGAAAACGGATGCTGAAGGAAGAGGTCGTCGAAATGACAGAATTCAAGCTAAGAGTTCGTTGGAGAATTGCCGAATCCGTCAGGAGTCCGAGGTTTGTTGCTAAGAACTGTTGAGAAATTCTGGCGTTCTGCGCGATGGACAGGGCTTCCGATGTCGCCGATTCATCGCTGCTTTGACCCTCACGCCGTGGATTCATGATGATTGCGTGTACTGACAGATGAGTTGGGTTGAGTGTTGTGACAGATGAGTTGGGTTGAGTGTTGTGACAGATGAGTTGGGTTGAGTGTTGTGTTGTGGAAAGAGCTGGTTAAGTATGACGTGCCAGTCCGTCGCTCCTCTAATAGAGAAATGCTACCGACACGCGAAAATTGCTACCGTCACGTTACCGCCATACCACTTCGAGTGATCTCGCCGGCCTACGAGATAGTCGTTGCAGAGCAAAGCGGCTAATTCTAACTTCTAATGCTGCGCAAAGCCCACCGGCTTCACAGCAACCCCTCGGCTAGATCAACTCCCCTGCTTTTGTCATAAGTCATAATTCAGCTCCCCTAGGAGAAACTTGGCCACGTGACCTTACCTGGTCACCTGACGCTGCATTAAAACGCTATTATTTCTCCCCCTAGGAGAAAACTTGACCACGTGACACGTACGTACGACCTTCTGATTTGTAATTGCTTCGCTTCGCTCCGCAATTATTTTCAAATTGCTCTGCTCTATGGAGAGTGAGTCATCGTACGTTAGAGCGAGTGATGTGAGAATACATTCGGAAACCCAAGTCTGGAAATTTTCATATTGGCCGGGTGTGGGTTCGTCAACTTCTTGTACACTTTATATTCTCAAAATGACCAAGGAATGAAGCCGTGTAATCAGATTCGAACAACATCACTGCCCGGAGTGACATGTATCGAAAACTTTGCGATATATTGGTTGCATCTTTACTAGGATTATTACTTTGGTTAAGTGTCTGAAAGGCATGGTTGTTTCTCATCAGAGGATATCTTCAAATTCAATAATCGCGGAGGTAACGCCTTTCGCCATGAATATGCTATATTCCCCAAAACTATTCCAAGGAAGACATTATAACCATGAATCCGTGAGTCAGGGAAGAAAACTCAAGATTGCAGCCAAAGGAAAGAAAACCAGATGCTTTTTTGCATAATATTAAACAGACGAGCGGCCGAGAAACGATCCAGCCACCCAGATAGCGGTGCATGCACCGACGACAGAGATGCCAACTAGCCGCTTGCCCCAGCTGCTGTCTTCCGCCATTTTGGTTGGCCCAACAGTGCTCTTCAGCTTCAGATGTAGAGACGATGAATGCAGGTCTTCAGTGACATTTGTAGCGGAATCAGCTAGCATGGCTGAATATTCCTCGTCACGATTTTGCCACTTCTCCACAAGTCGCGCAATCTCAGCCAAATCTTCCTTGAGGGAGCCAGGCTCTGTGGCGTTTGCATTCTCGACTTCCACATTCTGCACATTGCCGAAGAAGTCAACCACAGTCCGCAGACGGCCTTCTTGCTCGCCTCCAGGGAACAAATCCCACCGGACACCTGGCTGAGAGTGGATCTTCGACTCATCATAGGAATCGAACAGATCTCCCAGGTTGAGTTTAGAAGTGACACTTGTCACTTGTGTCTCGAGGAATTCGAGAACATAGTATGTCCAGCGATCAATGACAGCGACGCCGACGTCGTTGTCCGCATGGTGGGAATAGGAAGATTGGTCGATCTCGCTGGAGCCTGTCGCCACGATGTTAGGCGAGTAAAAATGGGTGTACATCGTATTGGCCTGGCAAGTGTCGATCATGAACAGCAGCTCATGATAGCGCTTCTTCTCCCACATCTGTCCAAACGCGTCTGCAAGATCCCACGCGCCTATCTCTTCGGCGTCCTGGAACTTTAGGAACTGGTCGCCTCCATGTCCGGTCATGTATACTAACACATTGCTGCCGGCGTCAGATCCCAGGCGTTTGCTGCGCGGCACATCTTCGTCGAGGCGGTCGGTCAAGAGTCGGATGAAGTTCTCCACGGTCACTTCGTACCCCCTGTAGTCCACTTCGATATTGTCACCGTATAGGTCGACGGCGCGGTCTGCGTTACTGTAAACGGTGCCGGGGAAAGCGTTTCGGGGATTGCAAGCCATGTCATCGGGGAGCATGAGGATGATCTGTGAATCGGGAATTCCGAGCCGTTTGACGGTTCGGTATAGTGATAGGACATTGGCGAGGTGGCGGTAGTTGAACCAGAAGCGAGAGGTAGATACAAGTACCGCCCAATTAGAGGTGTGTTCAGCGACAACTGCGCTGGCAAGGAGCAGCAAGGCGAACGCCTGTAGAAAGCGGAAGAGCAAAGCCATTGTGACGGACGATCAGGTCATACTAGTAGGGAGGAGGACGCTGCTTAATCGGTAAATGAAATCAACAGCGACAAAGTATAAATCAAGTCAAAGGCCACAATTATCAATCATAAGAACCATATCAGGGCCATAGCACAAATGGCCGGAAGAAGACAGACAGCTTCAAGCTGCCTAGGTGAGATAGGAGATTACAAATGTCGGGGAAACTTCGACAGTTGCCACATTCATAAGGCACCAACATTGACGCACGGACTAGTCACCGCCTTCATCGGAATCGGCATATTGGTTCCGCAGATCAGATCATGTAAGTTATAGTCGAAGCTCGATTCCACCGTTTTCTTTTCATATCCATTGCTCGATCTGTCCGGCGTATAGTTTGGACCTAATATTTCACTATGGCAGGCAAGAAAGCAGCAGGCGAGAACACCAAGAAGGTCGCCGGAAACGCTCGTGTATGTTTTTTCTGAACCCCGCCCCCGCTATTATTGCCACACCCCTCAAGCATAAGATCGTTTGGATAGAAGCTGACAGTGCCGTACAGAAAGCGGAAGCCGCAGCAGCAAAAAAGGCAGCGGAGGACCAGAAGAAGGCTTCAGAGGAGGAAAAGCAATGGACAAAGGGATCCAAGAGCAGTGCTAAGAAGTATGTGAACTCAATCTCTCAAGGAGAACATGTCCTCGAGTACCGAGCTGATCATTTTCAATCTACAGAGAGGATGTTGAGGCTAAGAAAGCTGAGGCTGCCCGCAAGAAGGCAGAGCGCGATGCCCTACTCGCCGAAGAAGAAGCCTCCCAACCAGCCAAAGCCAAAGGCGCAAACGCCAAGACCGCACAAAAGAAGACTCGCGGCCTCGATCTTTCACAGTTGGATGATGCTCCTGCAGGCAGCAAGAAAGAATCTGCTCTCAGCGCCACTGGTATCGATAACGCATTAGATGCCCTGTCTCTAGCCTCGAAGGACACATCCAAGATCGACCGACACCCGGAGCGCCGATTCAAGGCCGCATATGCCGCATTTGAGGAGAGGCGTTTGCCAGAGATTGAGCAGGAAAACCCCGGTCTGCGCCGGAACCAGCGTATGGATCTCTGCCGGAAGGAATTCGAGAAGAGCGAGGAGAACCCATTCAACCAGGTGCACGCGGCTGTCAATGCTACCAAGGAAGAGGTTGCTGCCCTTCGGGATAGCGAGCGCAAGAAGGTCGAGGGCAGACTGGGCGGCAAATAGATGGGTCTGTCACTTGATCATAAGCATTCAGGCGCATGAATTATTGGGAGGTTGTCGATATATTGGCTCACTGACCATGGCCCTGAGTCTAAATGCTCCCAAATACCCAACATGGATGTTTCTCTCAAGATTGTGAGCCTCTTATCTTGATTCGGAGTCATTGAGTCACTGCAGGGTTCAGAACAAAAGGCTTAATGCTTAAGCCTGAGGAATAGGCAATAGTGACGCATTTGTTCTTATATCGCACCACGCATTGCATCTTTAGCCTCTCTGGCATATAATACGAAATAAAATGATCAATATCCCTTTCAAGTTATGCACTCCGTTTAAAGCAGGCTGTCTGGCAATCTGATATCTTAAACACACGTGTCCAGTAAAATCCTACATAGCATAGCTCCGTTTCGATTGGAAAAAAATGATAAGCCTCGGACCCTGCCAGAGATATATAATTGGTTGATTTGTCAAATTCTATGACATCGTGGCTCGCACATCCCACACATATAGATTCTCATCCCAGCCAACACTAGCACACCAGCCCTCACTTCCAAAGAGACACCAGTCCACACCCGTCACAAACTCGGTATGTCTACCCATGCGCCCTAGTTCCGCACCCATCACTGGGCCAGCGCGCATCATATCCATATCCCCGCCCGGGCCCGTGTCCGACCGGTCACTCCACACTCGACAAGTCATATCGTAGCTAGCACTCAAAAGAACATTAGAAAGATGCGGCGACCAAGCCACTTTTCGCACAGCATATTCATGCCCGAGCATAATGGCAAGCGGCCCTTGTTGCGGGGCCCGGATATCAAACGTCCTGATAGCACGGTCAACACCCGCCGTAGCTAAGACAGTGGGGCGGTATTTGTTCCAGTCGTGAGTGAGGGCCTCGGCGGGCGGGGTAGGGCCGCCTGGCTGGCCGGGGATTGCAGGAGCGGGGGGTCCGCCGTGGATGGGGATCTGGGTGACGAGGTGGTTGGAAGCGGAGGCCGGTGTGCGGAGATCGAACACGCGCACGTATGAGTCTGATGTCACGCACGAGAGGATGTCTGGACTGTGCGGACAGAATGATGCGGAGTAGGTGCAGCTGTGGGTTGGGAGGGTGAGGAGGGACTGTGGGCGATGCGGCGACCAAATGCGGACCGTGCCGTCCCAGCTACTTGAGCAGAAGCGGTCTTTTGCGACGGGGTTCCAGCTGACGCTGAATACTTCCCGCGCGTGCTCTTTCCAATTTGAGATTGGGAAGTCGTTCGCTGTGCAGTCGAATAGTTTGATGCTGCCGTCGCCGGATGCGGCGAGGACTTGGTTCTCGTGAAGTTCGGACCATGCGAGATCATATAGGGAGTCTTGTGTCGTAAACCTAGAGGTTGTATAGCGCCAGATGGTTAGGTTTCTGTGTAGCACACTCCGCCGCGGGGTCTGGAATATCCCACTTACCATTTTAGCGGTTGGATTCCATTCGCAGTCAACTCTAGAATATGAAGGCGGCCATTGCCAACTAGGCCAAAATTTGAGGAGCTTGCAACGGCTAGTCGATTGTCAAAGAATGGGGAGTATTTGACGGCGCAACCGTTATATCCTTGTGTGCGGTAATGGAGCATGACGAGCAACTGATTGGCGCCGGTCGCCCAAGGAGGGAGGTAGGAAAGAGAAATAGAAAGAGAAAAAAGGAGATCGTCAAGCAAGCTATAGGGTATCAAAAAGACAAACGTCAAAGCTCGTGAAGATGTCGAGTTGAGATTGGCGTATGATCTCGGGATTGCGGGGATCAAATGGGCCGAGGTCCTTTCTTGGCTCTTCAGGCACGACACTTGCACATTCGCTTTTGATTTATTATCTATGTCAGCAATTTCATACTAAAAATAATCTCAATGAATTGGTTGTTGATGATTCTTTCGTCTTCGTCTTTGTATTCTTGTTTGAAGCTTTTCTCAATGGAGAATCTGCTTTAGATGATATAGGAAATTTTAGTATCTGTTGCCCATTCCAGGTATTGAACGTGATGATCCTGAATTTACTTTATTACGTATACTTAGAACGGGCTTTGACGCTGTCGATGCGGACAATAATGGCGTCATATGTAATTTCTTTCTATGAACTCCTTCAGGATACAAGGTGCCAGATCGACCAAGAAGAAAGAGTATATTCAACCCAATAACCAAGATGGAGAAAGAAAGAAGAAGCAAGTTGATATAGCTGACCACTTTGCAAACGTTACAAACTTGAACTTTCTCGCTTAGCTATCTAGCAAACAATCCATGTAAAGTAAACAATGCGAACAGTAAGCGAGTAAGCAAACGAGCAAGCAAACATGAAGCATACTAGGAATCTCGCCCAGATGGGACCGCCAATTTTTAGCGCCTCTTGGCACAGAGGAACATGTATTAATCCGAGTTCCGAGAGCTCAGCGAATGTCAGACATCAGCGAATGTCGGGATTCTTTTAGGGGTTATAATACCCTAGTACAGAAGAAGATAGGGTTTAGTGGTAAAGATAATACGGTAAATAATGATCACGGGTCTTTATGAACGTCTATTATAAGCTATGAAGACATCCTAGTGTAAAGAGAGATCTCGACATTCGCTAAGACCCCTCTGAGCAGATAGATGGTCGAAAAGCGGATTAATATATCTTCCGGCACGCTAAATTAGCGGTCCCATTTCGACATTCGATCGGCTGTACGCCCCTTCGAAGCAGAGTTAGTTGCACTTTCTGAGGCAGCATATGATCGCCGACGGATTAACAAAACACCTTCCGTCCCAAAAGCACCTTGAAGTCCTGAATCTTTCTTACCTTCTCACGCAGCTAGTGTTGATTGATGTCCACGTGGCGTAATTTCGTCTGATATGATGAACTTGGCTTGGTCATCAGATCAATGGTCTGCTTATTGTCACATGACAATATTAGATCGTGTTGTGCGTCAAATTCAATTGAATTGAGCAGTCGTTTCATCCAAAGTAAGTGCTTTGCTGCCTCCACGTAGTAATCACGGCATCTCTGGCATTGTTTGGTCTCTGTCGAGAGAAACGTAGACTGGAACTGGTCTAGAGGTAAGTTGCGCTTACATCCTATACATTGTTTCAATGAGGGTTCTGGCGACAGAGATGCCTCTGGTACTGGGGCATTTATAGCCAGAGGTGATAGTGTAAGGGGGGGACGATGCAATAGGAGGTCTAGAACGCTCTTTCTTTTTGGCATCTCGATAAGATTGATACTGATCGGCCTCTTGATTGCTAGCGCGCGAGCGAAATAGCTCTAAAGGACGCGAGTGACCGCATCTAGTGCATGTTTTGGAAGCTATAATGATAGAGAAAGGTGGATGCTTAGACAGAGATATCTGCTCTGCCTATATGAGTATTGCAGTTGGGAAAGCCGGTATCCTAGTAGTAGCCTTATCTTCCAGACAGAGAGAAAGTTTAGTTAACTAGGGGCCTTCATGTGAACTAGAATCCCAGAGGAGAAGCTAGACCAGTCACCACTCACAGAATGAAAAAGGAGTTTACAGGATGTTGTTGCATTAGGAGATAATAATATCTACTGCGACCTGTGTCATCTCCATACTTGCTAGCTGATTGTCCTGGATGGTTGATGTTGTCACTTGTGTCGCTCTCGTCTTATCTGCTGGGTCGATGGTTGAGGGTGGAGTATGTGATGTTCGTGGTCGTTGACGTCAACGGGCTACATCTACAGCTACATCAAGCCCCAATTGCAACAGTAAAAGGAACCATTCTAGATCAATTATCTATTCGCTGGTACGGATTTAAGCCAATCATGTTCAATAGGTACAAATTGAGCCACCCGATAATATTTTGCCTCAATCTGCAAAGTATGGAAATGACGCCACAATTGGCCTCTTTCAAGATCTGCTTTTTAGTCTGCTCGGCTTGATTCTGATTGAACATAAACTCTTCTTAATATACAATCCAACTGCCATGATAAGCCCAAGAATCCACGATAGCCAAATGGCACCCAAATTGGGAGGCGACAAGCAAACGCCAGTACCGAAGCAGTATACATCCCCGGCCAGTCTATTCCTCAAAGAAGAAGTCTACCGACTCGGTGCATTGCCAGGCCTGAGATCCCTGCCCCCAGGCCCAGAGCGTGACTTTATCACTCTCTCATGGGGACCCATCGTCTACCGCACCTCTTACTCCCCCGAATCCAAGCGCCTCCTCCCTGTATTCATGCGCTACCTCAACCATTCCGTGAGCCGGGCATTGCGCCGGACGTTGACAGGATCCGATGAAGAAATCCAAATTCTCACAGAGACATATTCTTCCAAGATTTTCAACTCGCGAGATATGTTCGCCGATTTGAATGAGGAAGAGATTCGACAAGTGTTTCATGATTTCAAGGTGTCACTCGCGATGCCTGAAATAGAGCTCCCAAGCAGACTGCGCATATGCTTGATGCTCGATGATGCAGTCTTCTCGCACTTGAAATGCGCTTTAGATCGTTCGTCGAAGGCCGAGAGGGATGCAGATGTGGGTGGATGCTGGGTGAAGGTTGTTGAGGAGAATTTTCCGGATTCGAGGATTGATGATCACCCGCTCACGAGCCACGATATAGAACGTGTATCTAGTTACGTTACAGAAAACCAGGGGGATTATCATGGGTGGACGATAGTGGCACTCGATGCATTGGTAGAAATCTTTGATGGGCTTCGTCAGATGAAACCCCTGGTTGAGTATCATCGGGAGGGACAGGTATATTTGGGAGAGGGCAAATGGATTTAGTCTGTATTAGAGTGTATCTTTGAATCAGTTTCAACCATTTTTTTTCGCATATATCGTATATAATGTGTAGTTCGAGACCGATGCTGGTGGCCGTACCATCCCATCTACCAAGGTAAGACCACACAAAGGCAAGTGCGGCTGTTCTTGCGATATAGTAGGAAGGAACCTCATGATGGGTCACCCAAATTGGACGAAATGAAAGTAGACATGCTGAGCCATGCATAGCAGACCAATATCGCCAATTTCAGAAATTCTACCTAGTTTTAAAAGTCGTTCTATAGAGATCATCTACAATTTGCACCTATCTACGGAGAGCCTCATACTGTGCGTGATCTGATTGGTCACTTCGGTGGAAATCATGTGCCGATAAGCATTTTATCGTGATTTGTCATAAGCACCCCGAGGCCCATTCGTTACTTTTCAGAGCCTCAAAAGGATGAGACTGGGAACATCCATGGATGCTTTCATATCCAGGAAGCGACCGCGGCTCTTAAATCCGAGCGAGGAGGCCAAGCCCGAGTCATCAGATCCCCACGAAGACACCACTGATACCAAGCTAGCAATACTGCTCTCTCTCTTCCCGACTATCAAACAAGATGAGCTATTGGAAATACTGGTATCCTGCGAAGGGTCTGTGGAGAATGCTGCTGGACTTCTCTCCGAGAAAGGCTCCACGGCAGGCACACTTGTCACCAAAAAGCGAGCTGCTGTTACCTCATCATTCGGAATGCAGACATCTCTCTCATCGCATATTCTTACAAAAGCTGAAGACGGAAGCATGAAACCTTTGAATGAATGTGCGAGTAAGAAAATCATTCCCCTCCCACAAAAGGGCAAAACGTTACACCTCTACTCGCCTGAGGATATTGCCACCTACACACCTTGTACTATCATCCACAACTTCCTACCAGCTAAAGAAGCAAATACACTTCTACTTGAATTACTTGATGAATCTAAACACTTTTCTCGGTACGACTTTCAACTCTTCAACCGCACCGTCCAGAGTCCCCACACACACGCCGTGTACGTCTCTACGCCCGAAGAACACCGGCAACAGACGTCAGAATACACATACGGTGGCACATATCGGTCAAATGTGCGCCAGGTAACACCTCAGCTACGGTTAGTGTCACGCCAAGTACAGAACAATGTCAACAGCGAGATCAACAAACGAATTCGAGACATCTATCCAGGCGGAAAGAAGTTACAGTACCAGTCACCAAAGGAGTGGCGGCCCAACGCAGCATTCGTTAATTGCTACGACGGGCCGACCGAAAGCGTGGGATATCACTCTGACGAACTGACCTATCTTGGGCCCCACCCAGTGATAGGAAGCTTGAGCTTGGGCGTGGCACGCGAATTCCGAGTCCGCCGAATAGTAGCCCGAGACGACGAGACTGCGGAAGAAGATCAAGATGCGGATAAGACTAGTCCAGTCCCAAAATTTGCGCGAAACCAGACTGCATCAGCTGCACGGGCTGACGCCCAAGGCCAAATCTCGATCTATCTTCCGCACAATTCTCTCCTTATTATGCACGCAGAGATGCAAGAGGAGTGGAAACACTCCATTACCCCGGCTCAAGCTATCTCCCCACATCCGATATCCGGTAACAGACGTATCAATATCACCTATCGTTGGTATCGTGATACTCTACACCCACGCTACACTCCACGTTGTAAGTGTGGTGAACATACGATTCTCCGGTGTGCACAACGCAAGCATGAGACACGAGGCAGATATATGTGGATGTGCTATGCTGGTTTTGCACCAGGAAAGGAAGGGTGTTCGTTCTTTCAGTGGGCTGAGTTTGACGATGATGGGGATCCGGTTTGGGGAAAGAAAGCCATCCTGGACCACGCCCCTGCTTTATCGAATTTCTCAGCATCTCAATAGGTTATGAGACTGCTGTATAGAAACAATAACGGCCCTGTGGGCTCTTTTTTGGTGTGCGAATCGACTGTTCTATAACCTTTGATGTGGAACCATCCCGCTTTTCACCCATACCCCATACCCCGCGAGCGGAAAGTGGACTGGACATTCCGCAAACTCCACACTTTGGGGTATCCCGAGGTTTTTGATTTGGACCAATCATATGCCGGCTGATGCAAGTCTATCACTAGATCATGCATTAAATGTACTTCTGCCAAGCCCAATGTCGCTGCCTAGTACATAAACAGGTAAGATTGTCCCAAGTTACCCACGAGTATGCGGAATCGCCTCCGTCCTCCCCTATTTCAGAAGTCCGGTGTAAAAAGCCGAGCTCATATTTCATGCATTTTGGTGATCTTTAATTTGCCATCTTGATGAAGTCGTGATCTGAAATCTACACCATGGCTTCTGGAATTGAGGATACCTATGACTATATTGTCTGCGGGTAAGATAGTTATCCACCCACAGAAGCTTACAATCTTGCTTACCATAAGTTAGAGGAGGAACCTCTGGCTGTGTGGTTGCTGGCCGTCTAGCTGAAAACCCCGAGGTCAGTGTGTTGCTTCTGGAGGCTGGGCAGCATAACAAGGACCTGGAGAATGTTCACATGACCGGCGGGTGAGTCGCAAAGCCCTCCTTGATGCATTCCTCATCACTGACAGATTAGGTGGTCAAACAACTTCGATGCCGAGACAGACTGGAATATCGTCACTCCTCCTATGGCAGGGGTTGACAATCGCCAAGTGAAGCTGAGTCGTGGCCGGTTCCTAGGAGGATCCAGCGGGTGCAATGGCACGCTTTGCATTCGTGGCAACAAGCTGGATTATGATGACTGGGGACTAGATGGGTGGAGTGGGGAAGAGTTTTTCGAGTATATGAAAAAAGTAGGTGATATGATTCCCACGCCGCATTGAATAAGCAGGCACTGACAACAAAAATACGAATAGTCAGAGACATTTCACCCAAAGCCATGGTTCCAGGCCGACAAAGAGAGTCACGGACACTCCGGTCCCCTTCACACAGAGCCGCATGATCTGGCGCCAATCTCCAAGCTTTTGATGGAGTCTTATGTCTCGCAAGGCATGCCTCTTCATCATGACATGTTCAGCACCGGCGATGTTGCACAAGGATGTGGCCATGTACCTCGCACAGTATACCAGGGTACGCGGACAACGGGTGCTGATTTCGTTACCAACAAGAGCCACCGTGGGAATATCACCATCAAGACCGACACCACTGTCGACAAAATCATCTTCAGTAAGCAGAGAAACGAGACTCGCGCTTCGGGCGTAGTCACGCAAACTTCAGATGGCGGCTCTCGCATCTACTACGCTCGAAAGGAGATCATAATCTCTGCAGGCGCCTACTGCAGTCCCGCAATCCTCCTTCGATCTGGCATCGGCCCCAAGGCAGAGCTAGAACAGCACAACATTCCTTCTTTGGTCAACCTACCAGGCGTGGGCAAGAACCTGATGGACCATCTCGTCAGTATTCCCTAACGATCATATCAACATGAACCATCCTAACAGTCCACACCTCTAGATCGTATTCATGTTCTACGAAACTGAAAAGCAAGGCCTAACAAACGACCACCACGTCTACCACGGCAATAACTTCGACCGAACCTACGCACAGTGGAAAGAGAACAAAACCGGCTTCCTATCCACCTTCCCCTTCGGCAGCTTCGCCTTCGCGCGCCTCGACGACCGACTGCAAGACGAGCCTCTCTGGAAAAACACCTCCCGCGAACCCGGCCGTGACCCTATGGGTCTCACACCACAGCAGCCAAACATCGAGTTCTTCAGCACAGAGTGCTACGGCGGTCCCAAGCAATACGACCAATTCCCGATCAATAACCAGCACGCGTTTTCCATCATTGCCGAGCTGTTCGCGCCGAAGTCTCGTGGCTCGGTGGTGCTCGAATCGGCGGATGCGTCGGTTAACCCGATTGTCGATTGTAACTATCTTGCTGATCCGCTTGATGTGTTGGTTCTTAGTGAGGCTTGTCGGTTTGCGAATGAGGTTGTTATGCAGGGTGCTGGAACCAAGGATATCGTTAAGGGGTCTTGGCCGCCGAATTTGAAGCACCATACTTATAAGTCGAGGGAGGAGTGGGTTCCGTATGTGAAGCAGCATGCGACTACTTGTGAGTGCTGTATTGGAAGGACGGTTCGTCTTGTGGTTACTGACTTTTGTTGACAGGCTACCATGCGGCGGGTACTTGTGCCATGGGGAAGAATGGTGATCCGATGGCTGTTCTCAATGAGAAGTTGCAGGTGAGGGGTGTGTCGGGGCTGCGAGTTGCTGATTGCAGTGTCATGCCTACATTGCATGGAGGACATACCCAGATGCCGGCTTACGGCATCGGAGAGAAATGTGCGGATTTAATCAAAGAGACATGGCGGATGGCGGGCAATGTCTACCCTCGCATTTGATATCCCCTGCTGTCGAATTTTGCCGTCATTGGGAAGACTTGCGACGTTTGTGTGGTCATATCTACACTATACCCAGTTCCAGTACTGAATTTGAACACAAGGAATAGTTCTTCTTCATTAGTCAAATAGCGAGTTGCATCCAATTGAAACTTATACTCCAAGAGTAAGAGAAAGCCTTCTTATACAGATACAAATATAAAGCATAATTCAAGTCGGGAGCAAATCAAGCATTAGGCCATAAGAATAGTGTGATGACTCCATCGAGCAAATACAAACAGTTGATCTCAACTGAGTTCGCTTGAAGATCCCAAGCTGATACTGATAGCATCATCGTCCATTTCATACGACATTAGCGCTGAAACCTTGCGATAATCGTCAGAAGGACGGGGCGGCACACCTGGGATGCGCGAGAGAGTGCAATGAGTTTCCAAGCAAATAGCATGGGGTTTCGGTAGCAAAGAGTGCTGGTGCTCCAGGTGGGCGCTTAGAACATGCTGGGCAGCCGGCTCAGAAGAATACGCTTTTAGAACACTGTTGATCTGCCTGATCAAGTCTTCGAACACGGGATGTTCAGTCAATTGTGTTTCCTGATAAAACTCAATCGGAACACCAATTTTCACTTTGAGTATCCACGTCTCCCCTGGTCGTAACCGCGCCAGGTGGCAGTCTTCCATTGCCGAATCAAACTGGCATCCGTGGCCCTGCTCAACAAACAATTTCAAGTTGGATAGGATCCCGGGGCTGAGACCGGTACGAAGCTGCCGAATGACTTTGGAGACCTTTCGCATGAAATGAACTTCGCAGGATCGTGGATCATCTGCATTGGCATCATAGAAAATGTGCCATCCAAGTGGATGGTTTGCTGTGCCAAGAGGGAAGCAAGGCTGAGGGGAGATCGTATGGATACCAATAGCCGTGTCCACGCCAGATATAAACAGATTTTCTGGGGGAAACGCGGATATGAATACCAGATGACAAAACGCTGCTCTGGGAGAGGGGTAAAAGAGTCGAGATGCCTGTCGAATAGAGTTACTCGCGTCAGGGGCTTTTCTCGTTTTCTTCTTCAACTGGCGGAGAGAAAATTCATTCAGGGCAGCTCTCAATGTCTCGAATGGGTGGAACCCCAGCGGAAGGAATAGCTTAAAACCGTCTTTAGAACTTCCGTCAACACATGCTACGGCTATTCTGTCATTGCTGACCAGATTTGAAGCAAGCACAGAAGATGCCAAGACCATTGGCGTCAAAAGGCTAACAGAAGATTGTCGCCTATTTGATAGTCAGCACAACATGTTTTCTCTTGACGATTAAACCAACGGATCAACTCACAAGCTATCAAAAAGTATGATAATGTCAAGGGGTGCTAGGGTCGAGGTCTCAGGCAGCGAAATAGGCTCAACATCAGCAGATACATTTACTGACGCCCACACAGACATCGAATCTGTGCCCATGCACGGCCAGCCTGTGTAGGACCTCATGGTGGCGAACGCGACAGGAAGCTCCAACGGACAAAGTAACCCGGATGACCCTGGGCGCAGCATGTTTGATAAAGACCGGGAACTGTCCATTCTGGATTTATGTTTCGAGATGGAATCTGTTGGCGGTTCCATTGCGCCGGAAACGGAGGCTGACTTCGACGAGAGACATGGCTCCATAGAACCATAAGACCCGGAGCTCCAGCGGACAAGAAGTTGTGGCGCCAGTTGATATCCACTCTGAGTCATGAGTCCTCTTCGAGGATCAACCCGGCGGCGCGATGTCTGAAGGGAAAGGTCAGTAAGGACAATGCACTTGAAACCATGGCGGAAATTACCTGATCGATAAATGGGTCTTCATTCGCATCAAAGCCAGCCTTGCGGATACCTCGGGAAGCTGCAGCATGTTCCTGACGAATTTTAACCACATCAATATTGTAAAGACTATCACTGAGAGACGGGCTTCTGGTTGATGTTGCAAGCTCGCTTGAATCGTATTCCACGCTCGCAGAAAGGGACGAATGGCGAGAAGGGATCTGTGGATATGACAAGCTCGAAGCAGAGCTAGATGTCGAGCTGGCTCTATGTATGTGTGCAATGAATGGGGTGCGGCGTTTAATAACAGTAATCGGCGTAGTTGGTATTTCCTCCATGGTGTCGCGAGATTTAAATATGCTCTCTGTTGGTGACAGGACGCTCGAATTCAATCCGAATATCCGAAGCGTCTGTCGCACGAACTAGAGTCGACCGGGGCGTGATGGGGCAAGTCTCTGAGTCCGATGGGATCTTCTTGCGTCTCTGCTGCTTCCAAATACTGAAGCACGACAGGAACGATTCTTTGAGGGAATGAATGCTCCAGTAATTGGAACACGCAAGAGCGACGACAACAACAAAGACGAGAACAGCGATAGGAACAAGGATCAATGCAATAATTAAAGCTGAGCTTTTGATATCATATGATAGCTTATAGGTCATTTTGCTGGGATATAATGATGCGAGGAGGAGAAATGAGGGGAAGTAAACAACGTTGAAGCCATATGCTCCTGCCGCTTCCTGAGGACCGACGATTCAGATGGCAACGACGATGGCATTTCCATGGCTCCTGGACGGAGGATCCGTGGGATATTCCGAGATTAAGTCGATGAAGATTTAAGACAACGTAAAGTAGCATTTTGGGTATCATAATAGCACTTATATCCCGTCCCCTGCCATTGCAGCCATTTTCTCCTTGACTGAGTTCATGGTTGTATCATCCAGCCGCGAGAATCGAATCTAAAATGTGGTTAGTACAAGTCAAGAAAGGACGCCAAGGGTCATGTACCATTTCATCCACACCCCCACGAGCAGCACCTCCAAACAGCATCGGCTCAGAATGAGAGTTTTCAATCTCATCTTTCACCCGCCTGGCCCAAATTCCATCCCAGTGCCAATCCCCCGGAAGCCGAGCCTGCGGGCTTCCACGTTTCAGTTGTCCTCGAGGGCCTCCTCGACGATGTGCCTGCCATGCATGCCATGCCCCGGGGTTCCCGGCAACCTCAACCGGCAGCGAATCCAAAACCAATTCGTCATCAAAGGTCGACCGAATGTAATCCAGTATCTCGGACACAGGGACAACGTCTCTTCGTTCCGAAAACTGATCTATAGCAGGTACTTCTGCCACCCGCGATGCTTCTACATCGCCGTCCTCACTAGCCGCTGATGCCGCTGGAGGGTTTGACGCGTTCGATTCATCACCATCGTCTGTAACCGGATCGGTAGAGCTTGCGCGTCCGATCGATGCAGCACTTGCACTAGCACCGCTTACATTCCGTGATGTGTTCCGTTTTGCCCTACCAAACCAGTGGGGGAATCCATGGCGCAGACTGAATCCGCCGGGCGGTAATCGTTCATCGTCCGTCGCACTGACGGGATTGTCACTTGCCGAGCCAGTGCTATAGGTATATGTAGTAAGAGGCACAATCAATGGGTGGAACAAGTCCGTCGCGAAGGTGACTAGAGGAGGAAGGTCGGGATAGGTGTCTGGGAAGCGGAGCTGGAATCGGAGGACGGCCGAAGCATAGGGACCTACAAACAGGAGTTAATCGACGCATGGCGGAGGGAATAGTAAATTTGAATTCACCTGAGCGAACAAATATCACTCCATTCCAAAGTGTCGGGTCCCCAGGCGCAAGGCTCATGTAAACCCCTGGCGGTGCTGCACGTCTCAGGCTCGCGCTGTAGGGGTGTCAATACATAAAATGGTATTCGCGGGGTACATAGGCTCACAATTCCAGGTGGAGCTGCTGCTTTCGAAGTGAAGGTATGCAGGGCAACTTGGAGGTCGACATGTCTACTTTAGCAGAGGGAGTTGGGAAGATCCGGGGTTGACGCTCACCTGGCTGTACGGGGGAGAATAACGGCCAATCGTGACTATAAAATGATTTGGCTGATTCTACCTACCGCTTTTTCCACCGCCTCCTTCAAATCAGTATATTTGCCCCCCTCATACAACAACGGGTGTAAATTGGAAGTCTAATATTCTAGAATATATCGACTCGTAAAGCCCTGCTATCTTCCTTCTCTCGCTGCAGAGCAGAAGACATACATACAACAACAGGATGTTGTAGTGATAGTACGCACCCTCCAAGTCAGGCTTATGTTCCAAGATCGAGAATAATATTGACCCGTTTAAGATACTATATTTCCGTGCACCACAATTAATTGCATTTTCACACTCCTGTCTCCCTTTTTTTGAATCAGTTGTCTAACGGACGAGTCGAACCGTGACTCCTAGATCCATGCCGTCGCCTGGGCCTGGCGGTACAATCGATATTATTCAAATCCTCTACCATCACCGATCAGTTATGGGGTTGAGCCCAGATCACGTATCCTCCCGAGATACAAATCAACCTTGGCAACTGAAAAGACTCAACAGGCTGAACTAGGGTTGAGTATCTATTCACCGCTCAAGTTGGCGCAGTCCAGAGGAGTCCACACAATTAGACCAAGCGAACTTTTTTGTGTTTGCAACCATCCGCCAGGTCCATCCAATAAAGTATTTAGTGGAACTGATGCTTATTGACCATTATTTAAGTTGCAGAGATAATGTAAAGGTACACTGTATTCCAGTGTGTGGTCTGTCAACCGGGTAAGATACGATGTATGAATGTATTGTCTGGGACTAATGCTTGTCAGTCCTCCGAGGGTGAAAGCGACTTTGTCGTTGTGCGAGTGTCTCTTCCTCGTTGGGAATGGGGGTCCTCGACTATATGGAATCTATCTGCCCAAAGGCCCCGATGTCAACATGCATATCATATGATGGACCCCTCACGGATCGACAAACAGGGCTGATCGACTGACACGAGTATTCCTTAGCTGACATGTATTCCTCGGCTGGCATGTATATTCCTCTTGGATCAGATAAGGCTACCAAAAATGATTGGCAATTCACGGGTGCCAAGGTGTCGAGCTCGAACATCGTGGGCGTTTCGCTAATGCATCCATGAAACACCAAAGCGCACTTCTATAGGGATCCATACAGAGTTCGTAGCACAGCGGGCGCAGCCAGCAGTTGCTCACCCTGGGGGAAACGTGCTAGCCAATGATCTTTGACCAGTAAGCCGCCTCAACGCTCACCCACTGCTCCTGGGTGATAATAAAATTGACACCGGAAGTCTAATCATACCGGGAGATGAGCCGGGGCAAGGTATTTTGGACAGAATCGCAATGAGCGGCTCAGCCTGGAAAGGGTACGTTTTGGTTGCGACACTATTTTCGGTGTCAACGTCGAACATTTTCGTTGACGCCCATCTAGGACCACTTTTGATCGACTGACAAAACAAATTCTCTTTCCAAGGTTGCGCTTTTCAGGCTGGCGGCAAGCCCTTAGAGGTCATTGACCACTTCAATCCAGCCAATGTTTCAAGGCGAAACAAAACCGCGAATTGTGGAAAGACGGCACGTTCCACAGCATCCGGCGCGTAGCCGATACCCCGCAGGCTATACGGAGTAGACATGTGTAGATTTTCTCCGCAGCTGTCGTCCAATTGCTTAATTCAGCATTACAAACTATTACGACACGATAATAAATACACATTTGAACAAAGCCAGTGTGATTATTTTGAGAATATAACTAGAGGAGAAATCGAGCGACGATTGGCTCCATAAAAGGGAAATGGCTGGACATAGTACATATGCAAGTCCAGCGCTAGCGTCAGAGAGCTGAAAGTGAGGCTACAAAGGAGTACTCCGGGCGCCAACTTTGGAAGAGGTACTCGGCCTAATTTGAGACCTGGCGGGGATTGCTGTCCAATTGGTTTGTTTCAGACGAGGCGAGATGATACTTAAAATATGTCATGTATACTTTCATTATAGAAGGAAGACATTATAAAAGGAAGAATGAATCCCATTCTAAAAAGAAAGATCACCTACATTCCTTCCCATTACAGTACTTGCCTTGAGGAGGTAATTACTGAACTTGTTTTCACTTTTGTTTTCTTTTCTCCTGACTGAAACCACCATCTTTTCACTATCCAGTGTCTCAATACTTTGATATACTCTGTTTTCCCCCATCAACGCTACGTCCTTCTCACGTCTTTATCTGGATATCAAACATGTCCGACAATCCTCCCGCATCCGAGCGGTACAGAGTCTTCACACCAGAGTTCGACACAGCAGCCCCCGATCCTCTGGACCCTGCGAAGCGATACCACACAGGTGTCTTCATTCAAACAGACCCGGATATTTTCGAAGGAGATCTATTTCATGTCACCGGCGACATCATCGCCGCAAAGGGCATGTACTTCGATGTGAAAGAAAGCTATACTCCTGGAGCGTCCGCGCATTTTCACAGAACCACAGAGATTGGATGGATTTACAAAGTCGATTTTCCGAGAATAAGGGGTATCTTAGAAGCCTTGCCCACACCGACCAAGCAGCAGGGGATTGACTTTTGGAGCCATGATCCAAGCAAGCGGAATAAGATCACTTGGACGAAGGAGAATGGGGAGCTTTACGGGCCAGGCGAACAACGACGGCCAATCATAAAGTGCAATGAATGGACACATCAGATTGCGATTCCGAAGTTGCGACAGGAAGGCATTTTACATAGCTAAATTTGAAGTATCGGTTTGTTTCGGTTTGCGGTCATACGATCGCATCCCAGAAGAATCGGGGCCACCCACTCTGGATGCCTGTTTGCGGAGCGCAGATGACGGCCAGAGCCTTCTGAAGAAGGATTGAGATGGAAGTTGACGAGCTTTATTTTTTCTTTGTGGTTAAGAATACATCGATTTCGTTCTAAACATAGCAACGTACTTCACCAGCCTAGATCCCTGTCAATCAGTTGCATCATGGCCACCTCGGCTGGCCATACTTGAAGAAACTCTTGGACTCGCCAGGACCAGTCTTCTCCCCAGTCAAAAATAAAGGGGGAAGATGCACAAAAGAATTCCCAGAAGTCAGGAAACCAGCCAGAATTCTCCCAATCGACCAGTACGACATCAAATGATCGCCCACCTTGATCGTTTGGGCGACTTGTATTCTCTGCGACAATAATGTTCTTCTGCTGAAGGTCCCCATGTGTCAATGTGGGCCGGTGACCTTGAAGGACGCGAGCCCAGTGTTTTTCGTAAAAGCGAGCCTTGAAGTCTGGACGCTTATTGCGTTCGACCAAGGCTCTATAATTACCGACAAGGGCCGCAACGAAGGCAGGCTCGCCAGAGAAAGGCCCTAGGAATTTTTTATCGCCATGCTGGCTATAGAATAGGTAGTGATGTACGCCGCCCCCGTCCAGGCCTCCGAAAAAGTCGGGCCATGGACACTCGGCCTTTCGCATTGTGTCGGATATTAGTTTAAGTTTTGCGATAATGTCGTCCTTCTCAGAGTCTACCAATGATGGCCAGATGGAATTCAGCGGAACCCCAGGAACGCGTTGCATGATCATGAAGACTTGTTTGGACTCATAGTACATCGCGTATAGTCGAGGGGCCGGAACTCCTGGGACGTATCGTTCAAGGTAAACCAAAGCTTGGCCTTCCCAGGCGTTGACAGTACCCCCATATTTTGCAACAATATCGTCGTTCACCGCCACAATCTTGGAGGCCATGGTCTCCCACAGAACATTGGTGCAAGCGCGAATTTCATCTGTTGTAGGTAGAGTAGGCAGAGGCTTGGAGTTCTGAAAGGGGATAGCGACTGGTTCCCACATCGTGAACAGAGCAGGTATTGATGGAAGTAATATTGAAATATGGATGATTGGCTGAATGGAGGGGAAATGAGCGGTGAAAGAAGATCAAGATCAGTCACAGAAGTCCAACTAGACCTCGGACCACTAGAGCCGATTTTCCGGGGGTGTGAGCAACAATTCCCTATATAAATAGTAACTCCCTAATTTTACTCCGTACATATGAGTTGATAGTTTGACTACGAAGACCCATAGCGCTCAGGGTTCCAAACTCCTCTTGGGGAGGCTTTGATTCCTGGATGCCTTATTTTAGAACGGCAGAAAATTTAAATACCTGAATTACCATAATAGTAGAAAATGGGCGTCAAATGTGACACAAATCCTAGAATTCCTTTATTTCTCGGCATTGGAGCCGTCTACCTATGCTTGATCTGGCCGCCGCTCGAAGCATCCCTCGAGGTAATCCACACACCCTTACATTCCTGTTTCGTGGCTGACCCTGTTATTATCGCAGCCGCAAAACCAAAGCCAGTCCGTCGCAAGCGTGCTAGATCTCCAGCACCTCGGCGGAGCCAGCGGAGACGGAGGATTTGATCCCTTCCACCTCCCTTACCCGGATTTATGCCGAGGGAGAAAGAAAGAAGAAAGAAGAAAGAAGAAAGAAGAAAGAAGAAAGAAGAAGAGAAAACCGGCAGTCAACTCAAAGTAGAAATTTTTTTGGAACTCAAAAACCACCCAGAAATATGAAGATGCCGAAATTTGTATTGGCCGAAGGCTTCATATAGGGCGGTAGTTATCGAGAGCGGTGCTAAAATAAGGCATACAGGCATCAAATCCCCCCAAAAGGGAGTTTCGAGCCCTGAGCGCTATGGGTCTTCGTAATTTGACAGCCACTCTCTACGGAGACCTGGAACAAGCACTCAAGTCTGGCGATAACCAATCACTGGAAGAATTGCTAGGTGACTCGATCAACCTCATAGTTTGCCATCATCAGTGCCAACATTCCACACATCGTTTTCGATGCTATCACGGCCTAGAGTGTTCTCGACATCGCTGCAAATCACTATAAAGTTGATGGGCATTGCTAAGGAGCTTGCTACAAGATGTGATGTCATACTCCATGAATATGTTCATTGCTCTCGTTGGGACGTAATCTAATATAAACCATCTATGACCTATGATCTATCTATCTACATACTCATCGGCTCTAAAGGAAGTCTATCCAAATCCGCTTCTTTTCCCAAGAGACCCAAATGTATCATCCCCTCACCAACCCCCTCATATATGCCTCCAGCTACACCTTCCATCCACCAAACCGCGAAATTAGTGAGAGCAGCGCCAATCCGCCCTTCGTTGAACTTGCTAACAGCAGCTCCGATATTAACACCGCCTTTCCCCAACCCGTCAGCTGCCTCCAGTGTGATGGTCATGATACGCCGAGTGATGCGATGTGTCCGGTCATACTCATATATTTGGCGCAATAGCACCTTTGCATATGGTAGAAGGAACCGCAATAGAATGAACAACTGCAAGATCATTGAGGCAAGAAATTTATGCAGATATGATCTTGGCGGAGGGCATATTGTATGATTCGCACCTTCCATATACCCGGACGGCTGGGAGTATGTTGTTAACTCGACTTTCACCGGCTCGGGGATATGGTGCTGAAGCATGGAGGTCTCCTCATTGGTCAGGTCGGAAGGTAAAGCATCGAGAAGGTAAATGAGAGCGTTAAAGTAGAGAGATCGAGCCAGACGGCCATCAGCCTGCGGCTGCTGGGCTTCATACCCCGCATTTCGGAGAAGATTGAACGCTTCACGAAAACCGTCAGTAAAAACCATGCAATGAATACTTCGAACATCAACCGGAGAGGACTCACCGGGTACGACTCGATTCCACCGCAGCCCCGATGTGGTTTCGTATTTTGTCGGGGACCCCATGTCCTCTCGGGGACTATCTGACCCCACGGGGCCAGGGTCGAACAAATCCAAGTCATCGCTGGCCATGGAAGGCCCTTGGAGCTCAGGTACTACTGACGCAGACAATTGGCTTTGACATAGCAGATGAGGTTCCGACGAAGATGCAAGTCCACGGTGCTGATCCCCGCTCGATTCGGTGGTCTCGGGGACGGCTCGGGCAGAGTATAGGCGGGGTAGTCGACGCCGAATGGATGCCGGGATGGGGAAAATAGCGTAGTCCATTATCACCGTGCACTGAGTTGAAGTTGACACCGGATGGGAACTTGAGGGCCTTTTGGGGGAAAATCTAGATTAGATGGCAAATGATAGAAAACGACCTAAAATAGTTCAACTGAAATCTCCAGTTTCACATGTCAACGTGGACGCTTCCGCCATACTTACTGATAAGAAGACAGATAAGAAAATCCCGATCGATAACAAAACCCGATCTATTGCCGATCTACTGCCGATAACCTGGGGATCAACTTCAAACTTATGGATTTTAGAGGCACCTAATCTTACCGTATCAACCCCTCTGATAGCTCAGCTGGAAGAGCGCAAGACTGTAATTGCCCTATTCTTTAAGAGAACTTGTTATCTTGAGGTCCCTGGTTCGATCCCGGGTCAGAGGATTTTTTTAGTTTGTCTTTATGCGTACGGAGTACTGTCAGTAGTAAGGATTCGTACTTTTGTATATCAGCAACATGTAATAACTATGCAGGACAAGAACTTTTGTATGACTATGAAACAATCACCGCCTTCTCTTTCTTCTCGCGTGTACAATATATAAAAAACCAGTACAAAACGAACCGCATCTAAAAAGATATCTCAAGTTAATCTCCGATAGGGGGAATCGAACCCCCGGCTGCCGTGTGAGAGACGGCGATGTTAGCCACTACACCATATCGGATATTGGATGAAGGAAGAGCATGTTATTGGCTATATGAACCAAAGGCGAAGTGGACCTGAGGGGGATGACTAATGTAGTTTAGTGACCCTTTTGGTTTAGCGCACTTGGCTTTGTGCGTACCCGTGCGTGGTTCTATATAGTTAAGCCTCTTCACTTCCAGCCTCAACCAAGTCGCTGAGAACTTCAATCCGCCATTCGGGTGAGTTCCAAGTATCTCCGTAATCCCGAATGATATCTTCGCGTATGGCAAGGTGCAACGGTGTGTCGCCACCCTGGCAACGCTTGTTCGGTCGGCCCCTTTGGAGAGAAGATATCTGACCATTTCCGAGTGGCCTATGAGTGCTGCCCAATGCAGTGGAGTTAGGCCATGAACGAGCTTACTTCCAGGGGCATCCTGGTCTCCAGGTGAAGGTTCATAAACCCCGCGGCCAGCTTTTGTTGTTCGATTCCATCTCTTCCTCACGATGCCAGCGTTGACACATGCTCCTGCTTGAATTGAGGCTTCGGCTGTGTCTTTAGATCCCTCGCGGATGGCGTAATGTAATGGCATCATGTTTCCCACGTCACATATCTCAGAACAAGCACCTCTCGCTAAAAGAAAATTGGTGATCTGAATGCTGCGACTTCCCCCCTTGGTTGATAAGTGTAGCGCACTGCGACGCATAGAGTCTATCGCTTTTATTGAGACCCCGAGACGAACTAGTTCTTGAGCCAGCTCAAGCTTCACGTGTCTTGTATGGACTAGTCTCGCACCTTTGGCCCCCAGATTTCTGTACGAATACTTTGTATTTTTTCCGACTTCCTAGCCTTTTTCTTTATGTCGCATATGCACGTTAGCGCTTGCCCAGCCCTTTAGTGCAGCGGGCTCAGTGACTATTTTTAATGCCAGAACGCAACCACGTTGCCTCCTGCATATCTCAACCTTCATTGCTCTGTTTAATACTCACTGTTTTCTATATCAAAAAGGAAGTTTCTGTATGGGTTAAAGTATTTCTCTGCCAACTGAACCCTTGCCAAGCCTTTCATTGTCCTTTCCCCACGGGACCCACCATGCGACGAAGCTGTCCAAAAGCCTTACGAGCTACAATTACCATAGTTTTCCTTTTTGTTATAATTGTGTCTTTGCTCATTATAGATGGCGAGCCTACAGTGGTACAAATTCCCAGTCACTACGATGGTCCAGCTGCCGTTGACGCATTGAATTGGTCTCAATTTGCTTACACGCAATATGTTACGAACACTGCCTACCTGTGCAATCCCGTGATGCTGTAAATTTTCTTACCATACCTGTACAGTAAGTGTAACGAACCACAAACTTTACCAATGCATTTGCGGGCGGGCCGAACCCCAGCGGATCTTTACATCCATCCCATTGGGGTACAAGATCGGCAGTTTCCACCTCATCAAGGGCTTCGCATAATTTGGTTCATGCGTAATGTCACTTTATTAAATTTTTAATTATCAGTTAATTAAAATGAAAAGATGAATCAGGATAATCCCGGCTACTGTGCATAATCGGCGGCAGGTTGTTTCACATATGTTGAACCCTTCTAAATTTGGTCAATGGATATTCGGGGGGTTGACGCTCATATCGTCGAAAACCCATGGGAGGCTGCTACGGAGGCAGACGTACATATTGTACTCTATCAAGAATAGGATATGGCCCCTCTAGGCCCTAAACAAGCACCTTGGTTTTTGTTATGGTCTAGTGGCAAATTACGCTGTACGAAATTCGACATACTCCTTTAAATTAAAGGGGACGGCGCATGACCCAATGATACTATGCAGTATGATGTCCAGAACAGTATCGTTACAGCTTTTACAATACGTACCTTGGCTTGAAATGCATGCTTCAAATGACTGGCTCGCAAATAAAAACAGCATATGTACATCGCGATGGAGAAATAAGAGGGAAAATCGATAGACGTCTAGCATCCAACGATGCGAGAATACACTGGCCCATCTAACGTATGCAGTAGCAGTATGCTGAGATAGTGAAGACATCTCGTGGATTAATTACGCTTCCGCTGCACTGGTTTTACATACATTCTATTTCTTTCGTTAGAAAACAACACGGTCTGATGGTTGTGACAGAGGAACTAATATGACGAACCTTTCGTCGTGTCTTAAAGTCGTCGTAAATGCCCAACCAAATGTTCAAAGCGCGACAGTCATCTTCCTGTTGGGTCAGAGGGTTGAAATCACAGGTAGGCTGCTTTTCATCAATAATATCTTTGGGAGCTTCGATCCATGGCTATCATTCACACAGGTTAGCATCTTGGGTCGACTTTGGAATCCTGGCACGAACCTTGGGCACAGGCCAGTCAGAGAAATGGAGAAACTTGGTCTCGTTGAGAATGGCATAGGGATCCCATTTTTCCAACGGGTTTCCAAGGTAGCCAGCATGTTCTTTGCCGCGGAACTCTCCTGTCAAAAGATCGTAGCGACGGTGTGGCAGGACGAAAGCGCTGTCTTTGTACAAATCGTTGACGATTTCCATGTCAAAGTCGCCAGAGCTTGCATTGGCAATTGCTTGCATAACGCGAGTGAATTCAAACGTGGACGGTTCGACAAGAACCAATTGCGAACTTAGGACTCGGTCGTCTGGATTAAGCCAGTAGGCTCGTGGCATTGCGACAGGGCAAGGTGGGAGCAGAAACAGCTCATCCATAGCCTGTAGGTAGGTTAGTGGGAACGATGAGACAACATTGTGATGAACAGACTTGCAGGATAGTGGAGTCAGAGTCTAGGCTCAAAACCCTGTCGTATTGTGTTTGATTGAAAGCAAGAAGCTTCGTATAGCTCTCTGCCCATGTTTCTGTGGTTGATATTAGCTAAGAGGGACACTTCAAGGAAGGTACTGGCAAAGCGACCATGGTGTATACCGCAGGGAAAAATTACTTACGGTCACCGCCGTTCCTGCTTTGAACTTGAATAGGCTTGAGCTTGACTTTGTATTTATCCCGAGCGATGCGGAGTAATTCCGCTTCCCTCGAATTATCGTCATCAGCGACCGAAAAATAATCGGGGTACATCATTAAGCGGTCGGGCTTGCTGTCGAGACGATGCAGGGCCTCAAATAGCATGACCGAGTTGCACAGATAATCAGTGTTGGTGACATATTGTATGTACGCAAAGCGAGTCCAGTCAACTTCTTTCCCAAATTGGATAGTAACCTGTGGCCTAAGATAGCCAAAACTGCCGCGAATCCGAAGAAAGATCACCAGTAATGTGATGGATATCAGGACAAATGCAGCGCGTAGGGGTTTGGTTACGGTCATGGTGTGATCGCTTGCAAAGTCTAGCGATTAGCCATCAATGTCGTATCTTTACTTATGGCGTGGTGTGAGTGAAGAAATCCTTCGTCTTGGACCTGTCAGCCTAGCCAGGTTGAAAATGACAGCAAGCTAACCGCCGGGGTAAGCACAGGAGACCCCGAATCTGCTCCGTAACCAAAGCGAGACATTTGGTCCCAAACCGCACTAATTTCTTACAAATTGGGGGCGAAACACCATTACTGGACGACAGCGTAATCCGCAGCGGAAAAGGCCTGGGCAGCGGGCAGGGTAGGGCCTCAAGATACATCAATTGAACAAAGCCATGCTTATTATCAAACAGATCTGCCAGTTCCGATTCCCACGTTTTGACCAAATTCTGTCCACAACAGAAACCAGGTCTATGGGTATATGTTATTTTTCCTTCCAAAATATAGGGATCTTATCACTATTGGTATTATAGCCCACAAACCCTGGTATACTCGTATTTCGTCCTGCAATTTGTCAATTCTTACCCCTTGTAGAGGCAAGCCGACTACGAGTCATGGGTGCAATGCTATGCTTTATCGAGTAATGGACCGAGTCGATCTTCATTTAGCAGGTGTTACAAGACGGACAGTGTACGAAATTGCACCCGGGTATCAGCCCAATGCCATATTTTGTTTAGCAATGACAAATCGGATTCTGTATGTGTTTGCCCGGGTGCTACTAGTACCTGTTCGTATGGTGGGGAGGGGATCGGGCCTACTGCCCCTATTGTACTCCATACTCGTACTTAGTGGACTGTACATTAGTACGTGTTTAATCAATCTCCAGCTGAACCCATACCTAAAACAGTTAATACCAAAAAGGGTCCGTAGTGGGCTCCGTCCAAAATCTCCCTCAACTTCCTGGCTTTTCACATGCGTCCGTCCCCGGCGGTTGCTGAGAAAATATCCTGTTTAACAACGGAGTGTTCTTCCTTCACTGGCATCAAGTCGTGCTGATTCTATTTTTGGTGAATGTCGCGTGTTTGCTCGAAGTATCCGCTGGAAAAGCCGAACGAACCGTCATCGAAC